TATCCCAACACTCTACAGGTAATGTTATAAGTAAATCAAAAACTTTATTAAGGTTAGTAAACGATAATTACGTTATTTATCTGTATCACATTATTTTAACTTCATTAGTTTCCTACCTACTGCATTGTGAATAATATTAGTACTTTTTCATAATTTGCTAAAATTAACTACAAATCATACTTAATTAAGTATAGTAAGCACTAATGCTACATTGTTTGAGTTAATTATCAGAATATATGCCTTATAATTGCAAATTTCAATAGTTATTCACGTCAGTTGTATGTAAGTAAAGTAGGTATAACTAATTCTTTTGTGTTAAATGTTACTTTGGTGTTTGATGTTTAATTTTATTGTCAGGTTCTATATTATATTATAAATTTAGGTACTTAAGGAATCTGTACATTTATGTTAAACAAATAATTTGCCGTATGTACGACAGCAAGTTAAGAAACAATCTAGTATTTTCTCTATTAATGTCAATTTGAATCGGTACTTATGCTTGTGCATATGTTGATATGTAATATATGTAATGTCACAACATTTACAGTACATTTACTAGATTTATATAATATACATATAAATATATTTCTTTACCGAATTAACATATTGTTAGCTTAATATTTTGTATTCATACCTATTGATCGTAGATCTTTATTTCATTAATTAGAATTAATTTTTAATTGTATAAATTCCAGGTCGACAACACTCGAATCCCATAATGGCCGAAGAAAAGGAGTTAATAAAAAAGCGAGGCAGTTTTAAAGGCCGTTTAACTGCATTTATTAATTATTTGCATACACTAACTGATGAACCGTTAAGTCTCTCGGATGCCAGAGAATTACAATTACGTATGGGTAAAATTGAGTCGTTGTATGAACAGTATGATCAGGTACAGTTGCGCCTTGAATGTATAGTTGATAATAATGAAGAGCAATTTAAAGAGCGCTCCGAATTTGAATCACAATATTTCAAGGCAATCGCGAAAGCCCAAGGTTTACAAAATGTTAATGTTGAGACTATGAGCAATATGGGTAGTGATGGAGGTACTCGAGCGAGCAATAATCATAAGCTGGTGCGTCTTCCGACCATCCAGCTACCGCGATTCAGTGGTTCATACGATGATTATTTGGAATTTAGAGACACCTTTACTAGCCTTATACACAACAATGATGAAATAGACGAAGTGAATAAATTTCACTATTTGCGTGCATCGTTAGAGGGTTCTGCTGCCGTGGTAATTCAATCAGTTGAGTTTTCATCTAGTAATTATGCTGTTGCGTGGAAACTTTTGTGCGATAGATTTGACAACAAACGTCTGTTGATACAAAATCATGTGTCTTCTTTGTTCAATGTGGAAGCAATAACAAAGGAGTCATCAGCAAATTTAAAGCGGTTAATTGATCAGGTAAATAAAAACTTGCGGGCACTTGAATCATTAGGTGAACCTGTCAAACATTGGGATACCCTTTTAATCCATATTATTACCCATAAATTAGATAGTAAAACTTATAGAGAGTGGGAGGAATTTAAGGGGCATTCACATAAAGATACTTCAATTACCTTTGACACCTTTCTAGAATTTATCCGAAATCGTGCAGATTTGATTGAAACATTAGAGCTTTCATGTGTCAATCAGGGCAATTTAAATCATAAATCGACTATGAAATTAAAATCTATGGTTTCAGTTCATGGCAGTCATCCACATCATTCCAATACAGCAGAATCACATAATCGAATCTGCCCTAAGTGTAAGGGTGACCATAGTCTAACCGGTTGTCCCCAGTTTCTTGCGTTGAGCATTGAAGCGCGCCTAAAGGTACTACCCAGTTTTAAGGTATGTTTCAATTGCTTTCGTGTAGGTCATTTTGCTAATCTATGCAAAAGGCCAGGTTGCAAAATATGCAAGCGTCGACACAACACTCTGATTCATGCAGCCAATGATCATCATATTCGTAATGAAAATAGAGTCGTATCTGAAACTACACCTTTAGCGTCGTCTTCAACGATTGCTGCTTCTGACAATGTAACTTTAGCAGCAAATATGTCTAGTTATAATAAAATTCAATGTGATGTATTATTATCTACTGCGTTGGTAAAATTATATGACAAGAATAATCACGAACATATAGTACGTGCAATATTAGACAGTGGTAGTACATCAAGTCTAATGACTGAGAGATTGTGTCGACAATTAAATTTGGAAACCTGTCAGGTAGATAAGTCAATCATGGGTGTAAATAACGCAACTTTACGCGTAGGCAAAACTTGTCATGTGCACATGACGTCGTTGAATAACAGTTTCTCTTCTGAGCTTCAATGTTATGTTTTGCCATCAATCACAAGTAATGTACCCGGTCACGAAATTAATATTTCTAATATTGACATCCCTACTGACATTAGTTTGGCGGATCCTACGTTCTTTGTACCAGCAGATGTTGATATCTTGATTGGTGCCGATCTCTTTTGGGATTTGGTAGGGACGCGGAGAATAATATTAGGTAAGAAAAAGCCTGTATTGTGCGAAACCAGATTAGGGTGGACAATTTCAGGTCCTATCTTTAGTCATCATGACACAATTATGCATTTAAATGATATAAAATGTAATTTTAATAAAATTGATTCTAGTGCAAGTCATGATTTGAACGACATTCGAGCTGACTTGACACGATTCTGGCAGCTGGAAGAGATATGCTCCAAATCAAATTATTTTCCGGAAGAAAGAATGTGCGAGGAACGTTTCTGCGTCCGTATACCGCTTAAACATGATTCTTCTGTTTTAGGTAATTCGTTTCATCGAGCGGAACACTGTTTATTTTCTTTAGAGCGTAGGTTGACGAGCAATCTTGAATTGAGAGATATGTATAGCAACTTCATGACAGAGTATAAATCGCTTGGCCATATGTCAGAATATAAACAGCCTGAGGTAGATGAAAAGGAATATTTCATTCCTCATCACGGTGTTATGCGAGATAGTAGCACGAGCACCAAACTCCGTGTTGTATTTAATGCCAGTTCTCCTACGACCTCAGGTGTTTCTTACAATGACATCCAAACGATTGGTCCCACCGTCCAAGATGATTTGATATCCATATTGCTTCGATTTAGGCAGCATAAATATGTTTTGTCTGCAGATGTTGAAAAAATGTTGAAAAAGACAAATAATTGTCCACCCGTCTGATAGACATCTACAGCAAATACTGTGGCGTAGTAATGTAGCTGAGCCAATTACAAAATTCATATTGAACACGGTCACATATGGAACATCCAGTGCTCCATTTCTGGCTACACGCTGTCTAAAGCAGTTAGGAATCGACTGCAAGGATGATAAAATTTCCGAGATCATTCAACATGATTTTTACGTTGATGATCTATTAACGGGCGGTAACGATTTGGCTGAAGTTCAAGCTATACGTAAGCAAGTTACAAATGTACTTGCTTCTGCATGTATGCCATTAAGAAAATGGAAATCGAATAATCCTCTTTTGATGATTGATCCTCAGGACGTTCAAGCATCATCATTCGATTTGAATATTGGGAGTGATGAGCCAAATAAGTTATTAGGTCTTAGTTGGCACACAGATTCTGATGAACTCTGTTTCCCAATAAGTTCTCTAGTTCCTAATGGTAATACAAAACGTGATATTCTTTCGATGATTGCTCGAATTTTTGACCCATTGGGACTTTTGGCTCCATGCATAATTAATATGAAAATATTGTTACAGCAGCTTTGGATTAAAAAATTAGCTTGGGACGAACCATTAACTGATGATATTAATCGTCATTGGAATTACATTCGTAAAACTTTGCCTCTTTTGAACGATCTTCGTGTACCGAGGATTGTTATTTGCGACTCCTGTAAGTCGTTAGAGTTGCATGTTTTTTCGGACGCTTCAGAGCGTGCATATGGAGCTTGCATTTATTTGCGTAGCGTCAGTACTTCTGGTGAAGTTATGGTTCGGTTGTTAATGGCTAAGAGCCGAGTAGCTCCTATTAAGCCTACCACAATACCTAGGTTGGAACTGTGCGGTGCGTTGATGGGAGCGCGGCTATATGATAAGGTCATCACGTCGCTTAGATTGGGAATAGATCAAGCTTACTGCTGGACAGATTCCACCATAGTTTTAGGTTGGTTACGTATGCTGCCTTCTAGACTTCAGCCTTTTGTACGTAATCGTGTTGCTGAAGTCTTAGAAAGGACAGAAAATTGTACATGGCGACACGTACCAACTGATGAAAACTCAGCAGATCTAATATCTCGTGGTGTGGATATTAGTAATCTGCAAGGTTTAAACTTATGGTGGTCTGGTCCGCAATTTCTCATGAATGACTTGTCGAAGTGGCCTACGCAACTGAAGTGTGTTGAAGTTCTCCCAGAAATTAAACCAGACATATCTCTAAATGCTATTGTTATTAACAATAAAAATTCCTGTGGGCTCATTGAATTTAGTCGCTTTTCTAATTATTTAAGACTATTGCGATCAGTTGCCTATGTTTTAAGATTTATCAAATATTGTAAAAAGGTACTATGTAGTATCAAATTTTTTAGAAGAGGTAGACTTACGCGACGCCTTAGTTTTAATTATTTCAAATAGTCAATATGAATCCTTTGCCGAGTACAAGTTACTGTTAAATAATGATAATTTGCCAAAAAACAGTCAACTATTAAAACTGAACGTCTTTATGGACGAAAATAAAATAATAACGAAAATAAATTAATGCGCGTCGGAGGTCGTATTGATAATTCAAATTTTTCACAAGATAAAAAACATCCTATAATTTTACAGTCCAGTCACATTTTTACAAAATTATTATTTATTTATGAGCATAAACGGCTAATGCATGCCGGTCCTCAATTGTTGCTAGCATCTATAAGAGAAAGGTATTGGCCTATAGGCGGGCGAAATTTAGCGAAAACCTGTTATCACAATTGTATCAGATGTACATACATGCATGAAGGGTAAAATTGTAACCCCCCTGATGGGAAATTTACCACAGCAGCGCCTACTTTCTGGTGGCTATCCCTTTGAAACGGTCGGTGTCGATTATGCCGGACCTATTATGTCCGCTAGTCGACAAGGCCGCGGTTGTAAGCTAGTAAAGGTTTATATTTCAGTTTTTGTTTGCTTCACTACCAAAGCTATTCATTTAGAGTTGGTAGGCGATTTAACTAGTAATAATTATATACTTGCTTTACGTCGATTCATTTCGCGAAGAGGTAAACCTGTCAATATTTATTCCGATAATGGTACCTCATTTGTGGGTGCATACAACGACATTTCAAAATTTCTAAAGACGAATTGTAATTCTTTAGGCGAAAGTGCAGCCTGTGATGGCATTGACTTCCATTTTATTCCGGCGTATGCTCCTCATTACGGAGGTTTATGGGAAGCGGGTGTAAAGTCGACAAAATACCACTTACAGAGAGTGTTGGGTAATTGTACATTAACCTATGAAGAGCTTAACACCACTCTCATACAAATTGAAGCAGTGCTGAACTCTCGACCCCTGACACCACTTTCTTCGGATCCTGCGGACTATAATCCATTAACCCCAGGCCATTTTTTAATTGGGCGGTCTCTGACTTCTTTGCCAGACCGAGATTATCAAAGACATTCCACAAATAATTTAACACGGTTCCAACGCATTGAGCAATTACGACAACATTTTTGGGCTAGATGGAGCAAAGAGTACATTGCAGAATTGCAACAACGTGTTAAGTGGCGTACTTGCAAGGATAATTTAAAATTGAATACGTTGGTAGTAATTAAGGAGGATAATCTTCCGCCATTAAAGTGGAAATTGGGAAGAGTTGTGGGAGTTCATCCTGGTCTTGACGGCATAGTACGGGTTGCTGATATCCGGACATCCACTGGAGTTATTCGGCGAGCCTTTAGCAAAATCTGCCCATTACCAGTATCATCGGAGTCTGATTGAAAGCGCAGCTTTCAATGCCGGGGGGCATGTTGTGAAGTCAAAGCGCCTACTTATTTTATTTACGCAAATATTACACTTTTGTGATCTGTGCTCATACAGTTTTGTAGTTTTTATTAAGTTAAAAATATAGAAGTCGTACAAGTTACTCTGCGTCTTTAATTTCATTATTCCCGAAAATCCGCTGTGATTACTCCAGAACAAATAGTGTTTGGAAATGAATGTTAAGAAATAAAAATTGAAGTTTTGTGAGTCATGTCATGTGTAAGTGTATTAATATATATAGGCTGGCCTTAAAGACTGTTACAATTAAAAATAAAACAAGATTTGGATTTGGATTTGGATGGAATTTGGAATCTGACAATATTATATGAATGTTCATTGTGCGTCATCAGAACCAAAAAAAAATGTTGACTGTGTTTTCTCTTTTTTCGTGCCAATCATTTGTCAAATATTTTTGATATTAAAACGCAATGCGGTGATTACGAGAACCGAATCGCTGAGATCTGGCCGTCCATGGTAAGATCTGGTCATACGAAAATGGCAATCAAAGCAGTAATGAAAAAAAATCGAAGAAATCTTGTCAGATAAAATATTCTATCGCGCGATAAAAGATTCTATCTCGCGAGATGAAGATAGCTCCTACAACCATGTTGCATGTTTTAAAAGATTACTTAGGACTTGTAGGGTGATAAAATCAAAACAACTGCTAATAATCAAAATAACTAAATAGTAATAATAATAAGCGGTACACAAAGGGAGGCTCTAGATATATTCTTTTTACGAATGAGAAAATTTTTACTATTGAGCAATATTTTAACAAGCAGAATGACCGTGTTTGTACTCAATATAAAAAAAAAGTTGCAAGTATAAATTAAAAACAATTAAATAGCAGAATGAGGTTAATGAATGAATGCATAGATGGATCGACGGATGGATGTTTGTTCTTATTTCACGCAAAAACTACTCAACGAATCTTAATGAAACTTTTAGTAACATCTTATCAGATCTATGTGTTGTACAAAATGTATAATTAAAAGTTATTTTAATTATATTAATGAAAATGAAAAGTAAGTCAAGATTTTTTTCTTTTGAGATCTATTTTGGTCTACGCTGTGTAAATCGTTAGAGTTATATGTATTACATCATAGTAATGTATAAAAATATATAAATGAATATAAAACTGTATAAAAGTACACAATAGGATTATATACCTTTTATGTGGAAGCTGTTATAGTCAATTTAGTGTAACATAAATATATCTGTTTAATTACGATACTTTAATAAAAATGATTAATCTACAGTATTAAACTTATTTATATCAAAACTAGCTGTGCCCGCGACTTTGTGCGCGTGTTAGTGACCTTGACCAAATATAGAAAAAATATTTAATAATCTAACCCAAAAAAGGCAAAGAAAAAGGTTACTCGTTATAGTTTCAAAGAAGACGATTTTCTATACAAACTTTCATCCTCTATTTTTTATTCCCTTAAGGGTAACAATTTTACAAACTTAGTCATATTTAATGAAAAATAAGTTTCAAAGTTCTAGTTTTAAAAATGACGGTACTTTCATAGAACCCTTCATCTACCCTTTCAGCCCCTTACAACCCTTTATTCGCATTAAAAAGTAGACTATGTCCTTTCTCAGGGTCTAGACTATCTGTGTACCAAATTTCATTTAAATCGGTTCAGTAGTTTTGGCGTGAAAGCGAGACAGACAGACAGAGTTACTTTCGCATTTATAATATTAGTAAGGGGTAAGGTAAGTAACCGATAAATGTACTTATACATTTATCGGTTTCAGTATTTAAAGTAAATAAACTTTGTCCTGTATATACTAAGTATATAAGTTAAATAGTTTGAGAGTCGCGATGTTAACAAACGCGCCTAGACGCGGGTAAACGTGTGTGCACTTTGTGACTGACTTTGTTTAGTAACTGAGCTATGGGACTTAAAAAACATACACATACCTTAATTGATCCTCCAACAATAATATAATTTCTTGGCAGTGTGAAATTGTAATATTCAACTCTCTTACGGAAAATATTAGAATTGTATTTCGCACGGTGATGTTGAACTAATGGTCTCTGAATATTCGTACCAAGGAATGTATGCCCACATTCTACCACTACCACTGCTATTAAAACAACAGCGGACAAAAATGAAAAATATGTTATGTATCTTCATTTTTACAACGAAACTATTTTTTTATAATTTCCTGTTCACCCGAACTTTTTACGAGAAATGAACTGGAATCTTTATTGACCTGATATTATATACTCTGTGGGAGAGATAATTTCAAATCATAATGGTCATATAATATTTTTATTTAGAAAATATATCTATACAATTAATTTTTAACTGCTATTTGCTCGTTCAAATTAATTATGGACTCGAAACATGCCCATTAAGGTAACGATCTTTCTGTTTGACGCTTATCCTATCACTGTTATTGATAAGAACTAATTAAAAATATTACAACTCAAAATAATGGCAAATTTAATTAATAAAATAACAATACTATACTATATGTACTAAAATATATTATATATTTGATGGCCTCGGTGGTTTATCGGTTTAGCACACCGCTACACTTCCGACGGTCGCTGGTTTGATTCCTTGCACGGTGCAAACATTTGTATTCATGAGTATAATTATTTATATCGGGCTCCGCGCCCCGGCTTTACACGGGTCTACATGTATTACACATATAAATCTTCCTGAATCTATCTATAGTAAAAATTGTTAAAAATTCGTTGCATAGTTTAAAAGATCTAAACGTACAGACAGCGGAAGCGACTTCGTTTTATATTATGTAAAGATATTGAAGCTGTATAGATCTTTTGAAATGGCCAACGATTTTGTCATACACAGAATTCTCGTAGGATTCCCACCGTTGCGGTCGCTCGAATATTTCATGGCTTTAAAATATATGTGCTGAAATATGTGACTGAAATTCAGCATGAAAATTTGTAGTTACGAAATTCAAGCCAGCAAAAACATTACAATGGAATAGAAGTAATAATTAGACAAATAACTTTATTATAATGTATTATAATGTAAGCTAATTATCATTTCATGATTATTAATAAAACGTTTTTAAAAGTATTTTTTACTAGCTATGCTAGGCTTCGGCATGAAATTTAAGGCTTATGTGTTATTCTGATGGATAAAGTATATTACTGTAAAATTTCATTATAATTCCTTCGTCGTCGCATCGTAGAATATAAAGCCTCATGATGCAGAATTCCTTATTTTCTTATATATATACATTATAAATTAAAAATACCGTAACAACAACGTACAATGTACATCAATGCCCGCGTAACACAGAAATAAAACAACAGCAACAAAAAACAAAACAACCAACGAATTTCGGGAATAATAAAATAAATAAACAAATACTTCAATAATGCTGCAGGGAACAAAATAAGTCTACTAATCATCGGTCACCAGTTAAATCATCCTGCTTTTGACTTTTTTTTTTGACTGACCTTTGGACTATTCACCCCGTCGAACACCTGCCCCCAGGTAGTGACCTGCAATGGCCCATTTGGAAATCGCTCAACAGACTACGAACCCAGATGGGCCGCTGCAGGTACTTCTTGGTAAAGTGGGGTGCCGCTTCTAGGGAGGCTTGTGACTGCGGAGCGCCATCCCAGATTATGGCACACCTGCTGGCTTGTCCTTTGTGCCCAGCATCCTGCACAAAGGGGGACCTAAGGCATGCGACGGAGTGCGCAAGGGTTGTCGCGGCGTTCTGGGGAAAATATATTTAAATATATGTATTTGGTTGCCGTTGAAACGAAGAAGAAGACTAGTTTTTATGTAACAATCATTAACTTCTTGTAAAAAATATAGCAGATGATCAACTTTTTTATGCCACAATACTAGCAAGTATATATTTTTTTAATGTATGATAATTCAATGGTAACGTCACAGATAACATAACATTACATAGTAATATGCACTCGCCCGCGTTAACGGTAGGTATGTGTCCTGAAGAGGGATGATAAGATGAAAATGAATAAAATAGGTCAGTTAGTTCAAATCAAATATAATTTATTCATTGCCATTTTAGCCGCTTTTGAACTTGTAAGTTATTTGTCTTAACATTATTTTTCCCTACAGTCCAGTTCAGTATACAAATTAAATGGAGAAGAATGAAATAGCAAGAAACTGAGTTTATTTGTCACCATGACACCCATGGTACCTCCTCATCATGCATTTCTAAATAGAAAGTTATATATTTCACCCAAGCAGCATACAATATAGTATATATAGTATACAAGTGCATATATAATCAATTTAGTACTTAATTTACCCCGAAAGTGTCTATCTTCCTTAATATTCCAATTTAAAATGTTATAAACCGAGAATTTGTAGAAATAAACACTATTAAAATGTAATTTAATTTAAAACAGTAATATATCATTTACATAGTCCATTTAATGAGGGTAGTTATAAGTCCATTAAAATATCGTGTAACATGTTCTTTCCATCCATTACGTATGTACAATTTTCACTCGGTACGTCACGGGCGGCGGATGTACAAAAGACACGTATAAATCAGGAAGCCGCGACGACGCCATATTTGTCCTTTTCACCGCCATTTTGTGCTGCCTGATACACAAATAACGGAACGCGTAAAATATGTACATAAATTTTAACACGAACCGTTGTGGATAATAATGTTGATATTTTTTAACACAGATCTCCTAACTGGCTTCACAAATTAAAAAAAAAAACTATTACCCAGCGCTGAGAAATCAACAATAGAAGCGTGTATGTAATCATTCTTAAATTAATTAATATGTACCTACATATAAATTTTCATGTAGAGACGTGTAGGTATATATGTATATGTAAGACACGGGAATATTATCAGAATCTGATTATTTTTTTTTATTTAAATTATACCATTAAGGACGTTGAACGTTTTAGTTTGAGAACGTCGTAACCACAAGGATTCGACTGCGTTGACGCATCCTTGTGTGTGGTGGTCCTTCCGCCGGTGTTACGGTAGAATTGGCTATTTGACAGTTGTAGAAATAAAATATG